CCATGCTGCAAAGAGAAGGCCCACGAGTAGGTTGGGTACCTTGGCGACCCGGGAAACGGGCAGGTCTCCTCCAGTGGTGTGAACTGAGTCCCGAACAAACCTCCCAAAATGACATGAATTTAAGGTCTGTGCAAGCTGCTGGATGTGTGTCAAATCTCGGGATTTCGACTCCAAAAACGGCAGGTGTCCTTTTGGTTTCCTTTTGAGAACTCAGGAATCTACAAGAAACGGAGGTCGCACTCCCTAGCTCAAGTAGTGGACTTCGAGGATAAATCCTTGGATCGCGCCCTTACTTGGGCTGCAACTTCATGGCTTGAGCTCTGTGCTTGAGCTCGGCTTCCCTGTGATTGGGGTTTGGATTGGCGGGTTGCGGGTGGTTTCCAGCAACCGGTTTAACTCCCAAAGCACCAATAAGCAAAGATTCCCTGAGCCCGACATGAGCTTCGCAGAAAAGAAAAGGCTACACAAATGCATGGTGTAGGCCACGCTCATCTTGGGCCCTGGTTGAGCTTGTGAAAGGCTTGAGGCTCGGAGCTTTGGAGCTTCCTTGGGACAAGGGGGTTGTGGGTCACTCCTGTTGGGCAAAACCTCTAGACTTCTCTGGCTGAACTCACTGGCCAGAAAACAAAGAAGAAAAAATACAAGATTTTTTGCGAGCCCTGACTGAAACCTTTGAAGAAACATGCTGAAGCCCTGACTCAACTTGACCGTCCCTCGGGTCCATCCATCCTCCGCTCCCCGCTCCGCTTCGAAGGGGCCATGCCGAAAGTGGCTAAGACCTGGTCCGAACCTCGCGCGGAGGGAGTTCCGCCTCGAAATGCCCCAAGCTAACCCTAGCAATTTGAACAATTCAAACAGGGTTTTGATTCAAAACAGGTTCTCAAGGCAAAATCCCCTTTGGGTTAAAGAATTTTCAAAACACAAAGGGCTGGTGGTTTTTTGGGGTTTGCAAGGCACCCCCGCACCGGATCATGAGGCTTCGAATCGCAGATATGCAGGGACCATGAGACCCTGTTGTCAAATCTCTTGCAAACCTACGCAGCAAATGCATGCCCAAACCCCAGGCGACGTGCACCGTATTGACCCTTGGTTTGCGGCTCAGCAAATCATGTATTGCCAGAACAAGGTACTGAAGAGGCCCAATTTGGTCACTGGGTTTATTTGTAGGGTTGTATTCCATAGTCTCTGAGAGTCGTGTGGTGTGTTCTGGGGAGCCATTTTTCCATCCGCGAAAATGGCCAGCGAAAGAAACGCTTCGGAAACGCAAAAAACACAAAGCAAGAGGCACCACGGTATTCATAGGGATTGATCCATGCAACTGGTGGATTGTGTCCACTGTCAACTCAAGACCCAAACAGTTGTCCCACAAAACATGGCCTGCCCCGAACGTAAGTCCAGAAACTGGTTGGAAGCTCCACAGCCAGCAAGTCCTAAACTAGACACCATCATGACATGTATGGCATAGATGTATATGCTTCATATTATGTATGTATATGTATACGTGTGCATAGAGAATAATAATACTAATAATAATAAGAAGAATAAGAAAAACATTATGTGCATCCATATAGTGTGTCAAACAGACACAGCTCACATACCAAATCGAATAATTATTGCGCAAGCCGGTGGGCATCAAAAAGAAGAGTGGTGATGCCCTGCAACGGCGCCATGATGGTTCAAATAAAAGATGCAGCCAGGCAAATTGAAAAGCTAACATATTGTGTTTGACGAGAAATCAAGACGAACACCCGAACCCAATCAAGTAGAAGCTTTGCGCAAAACCGCACTCTTGGGCCGTTTCTTCATGAAAGCTGCTGAGTCTTCTATTTGTGAGTGGGCTGAACCACTCAAACAAAGCATATCAAGTCCATTTCCCGCCCACCCGACTCACTCGACTGGAGCTTCGGGCTCAGATCCTCCGTGGGGACGGGCGGCTCGGGGTCATCTGCGCCGGGCAGATACTGCCTCCTCGCAGCCGCCTCCTCCAGAGAATGCGCACCGGGACCTGTGAGGGAAAGAGAAACCCAACAAAAACCGCCCGTTTTGGGGGGTCCACACAAACAAACCATTAATCAAACAAACAAAAACAAAACTATAGAATTCTGAGTTTCTGGCGATCTAATCCTACTTCCTGATGAATATAGTCATATAGTACCTTTGAGGGCTTGAAACGACACCCAAGGCAAACCACTCTCGTATCTACTTTTTGGGGGAGGGGTCCCCAATTTGACCCGTACACCCAGCACACGGAGCTTCTTTGAGAAAGGGACCGAACGAAAATGCACGGAAACTGCGTCTAAAACTTTCATACTCTACAACCATGCGCAAGGATGCGTTTACTCCCCGCAGAGCCTTGCACCAAGGCTCCAACCAAGGCCTTGCACCCCACACGAGCACCAGGCATGCACAGCGGCGCAACCAACGCGCAAGCTCTCCAGTTTTTCCGTCAGGCAATCCACAATTGACGAGCCTAAAGAAGATCCCCAACCAAGCCAAACGAAATCGCCGCCAAGAGAAACTCCTTCCCGACGCTTGGGTACTCCCAGAGTGCACAGAAAGCGGCAACCGGGAGGTGGGCCAGTGACATCCAAAGTGCCTTACAAAAGCTCCACACACGGAACACAACCCCAGCACATGCTGAGTTTGCGGGCAAAGAGCGGGCCAAGCACACTCCGGAGACTCCGAGCCGAAGAGCTGGGCGGACAAGCGAGACTTCCAAAATCCGAGACGCCATTGCCACTGAGCCACGTCGCTTTGCCTTCGGGAGAGTTGAGCCCCAGCGCTGGCACTTCGAACAGGAAGCGCGCAAGTCTTTTGCAAGCAACTTGCCAGCTCTCGTCTGGCAGAGCCGGGTCGACTGGCGCCCAAGGAGAGGATATCAGCGTCAGGGGTGCGTCAGGGGTCTGCGGCGAGTTGCGCCAAGCAACGCTTGGCAAGAAAGGCTAGGACTCATGCATTCCACTGCAAGCAAAGCTGAGCTCTGTTAGAAATTGGACAAGCGCGTCGCGCACACGGCTCACTGTCGCATGCCGAAATCTACGCCAACAACGGCCGGCCAACGTAGCATTCCTTGACAAAAACCAACCACATGCCCCTGTAAAGGCCTCCGGCCAATCTGCGTTTCGCCCTCCCCCCCCACCCACCCCACCTGCACGGCCCACAGCCAGGCCCCAGCGCCTGGGGAGTCGACGGGAAATGTGAGTCCGATGAGTGACATCGCTTTCTCCAGGGGATACAACCAACTCCACAGCAGGGTCCCGCACATTACCCCTTTCGAAAGAAAATGGCCCAGCCCAGCTGGCCTTTTCCCCTGGCGGGGAAAAGAAGCACCATGGAAGTGGGGAGAGTCCGGTGCCGAAATCAGCATGTCCCGAATGAAGGGATCCACTGCTTGCGACTTTTGGCTGTGAAAGGAAATGACTCCAAAGATACCAGGTCTCCAGAACCATCAATGAAGGGCGACCTTCCATATTCTTAGGCTCAAGGCTCGGACCGCAAAACGAGTATCGCCCACTGGACTCGGGAGCCAAAAACCAAGGGCTTCGGGTCACCAACTGACTTCCTTTGCCAAGGTCCCAAAACTCATCTGTCGGAGAGCCAGGAAAGCGTCCTCCAAAAAAAAAACGTGAGCCCCCAGTTTGAATCCTCCTTCACCAAGTGCACTGACAACTTCAGGCCTTCCGGCCAGCGCCGCGCTCAAAATGTTCTTCCCAAAAAGCCACACAAAAAAGAAGGGGAAAACCATAAAAAGAGCATGGTCGTCTTCCCTCTGGTGCCCTTTCCAATCCAACCTCAAAAGCGGTACGCCGACTCCCCCACGGCCTGCAGTGCTGGCAGCCGCTTGGGCCTGGAGCAAGGCCAAAACGGGTCGATGTGCCGGCGGCGCCCAAAGCTTTCGCTGGACTTGGAGAGGAAGCCAAAGGGAAAACGACCATGCTTGTTTCTTTTCTCTTTTTTTTTTTTTTTGGGGGGGGGGGGGGGTTATTGTTTTTTCTTGGGGGGGGGGGGGTCCCCTAAGCAAAGACGCGCCAACATGATGTAGCCTCAAAAAGCAACCGAACCTGAAAGGGACCTGGAGCATCTTCCAACCGAAAACCTTCAGGTTGGGTTGTTGAAAGCCGCATGGCTGAACCTGTCCCTTACCCAGGTGTTCATCGCTGTGGTTGAAACACCGCCGAAAAAAGCTGGGTCCGTGGTCGAACCTCGTGTTGCTTCGACCAAAATGAAGCCACGTTGCACCAACCATTTGCAGAGGTCAAAAATCGGGGGGAGTCTGCGCGTTTTGGGGTTTGTCGAGGCTGCCTTGAGGTAGCGACAGTCCAAAAAAGACAGAAAGGTTTGAAAGGACCCCTTGTTTGACATCCTCAGTAATTAGGTTTGGCATACTTCCAAGAGAAGAACCATGTCACAAGGCTCATGAGACCAGAGGGAAGACATCGGCGACATCGGCGGCTGCAAACAGCTGCAAAATGGACATGGGCAGAGCACAATCTTGCGCATAGACATGGTACTTCGAGGGAAAATCCTGGAAGACAGTCATTGCCTAATTAGGAAAGCCCTGGCGGACGAGCCCCCCTTTTTCCGCAACGCGAAAGCTCAAGGAAAATCGCGGGGCGCGGACCATCTGTCGCGCTCTGCGATGTGTTCTGAAAACAGATGCAAAACCCGAAAACGCCTGTTGCTCCATCGCAGAAGGCGACGAGCCTCACTTCTTTTGAGGCTGCTTTGACCCGACGCTCCTGGAAGATACAATGGTCGCCTTTCGGCGGTCCCATCACACTTTCTGGAGCTTTGCAAAGAAACTATGGGTAAACGTAAAAAAAGACAGATCTCGTATCAAACTCCGAAGGGTACCGTAGCCATTTGCGTTCTTCGAAAAGCAACACCGACAACACAACAGAACCCAACCCTCTTGAGTTCAGCTTGCCCTCCAAAAAGCTCCAAGCCTTCCCAATCCCATCCTCGCCAATCCCTGGGCTGTTTGAACCCACCGCTGGCTCTCACCGCTGTGCGAACTTCCTGAGGCCATGATCCCAGTGCCTCTCCTGCAGCCCGTCCGGTGTCCTGGCCACTGAACTCAACGCATCCAGAGCAATTCCCGGGCTTTGTGCGCAGCTTGGGGCTAGACATGAATGGCCCCTGCATTGCAAGTTGATTCGCGTGCCAACTAACTTCTACTCTGAAAAGGCCCCATTCAGGGCGGACTGGAAGCTTTCTGTCTCATAGGCACCCTCTCGGGGCACATATTTGTGTGGGGAAGGGAAGGGGAAATCACTAACCCCTACTTTCGGCCATAGTTGCTCTTGAAACGTGCATCGAGTCGTTGCGAAGTAGAGTCTAGCCTGTGCAAAGCGCCGTCTGGAAACTGCACGGTGGAAAACGGCTCTCAATATCACGAACCCCAAAACTTGAAGGAAACGAGGCTCCCAAACCCTGACACAGGGTCAAAAGAGGGGCATGCCTCTTCGCAACCCAAAATATGCGTGGCTCCCAAACCCGCAGGTAAACCCAAACCTTCCGGGCCTCACCGCCACCACGCCTTTGCCGCTGGCCTCTTTGCAGAACTCCGAGACCATGCCGCAGTGGTCGCCCCTAGGGCGGCATATCCCCCACGGGAAGGCGTTGGAAAGGAACCGCAGGCAGGGACCCTTCGACCCTTCGACATTCAAGAATTTGTTGGCCCGTGCGGTGAAGCGCCAACCCCGAGCCCAAAGGCCAAGGTGTCCAAGAGGTGTTAGCCCCGAAGTGGTGTCTTTCCTCTTGGTTTGCCTTGAAACCAACCTGAAAAGGTGGCCCTCACAAATACACCACCCGTGGACCCCTCCGCATTTCCCCGGTGCCGAGCTGCCAAAGGCAGTCGTCGAAGAACAGCCTCGGCTAGCTTGTGAGCCGCAATCGCACGAGACTTGCATCACTGCCAGCTGTTTAAAGCATACTTTGCAGGTCGTAGAACCACTTCCTGCATGGTGACTTAGCTCAGCACAGGTTAAACATTGCATTGATAGCAGCGAAACGATCATTGCGCTTAAAATGTTCCAGGATTGAAACGCTACTTTGGCGGTCTGAACTGAGCACGTGTGTCCCGCGCCAGAGATTTCTTTGCCCCCAAACCCCACGGGTGCCAAGCAAACATTTGCAACTCACGTTCCACCACTCCCACCTCATGTGGTTCAGTCTCACCCCTTCGACCGCAGCCCGACCTGCTTCGGCTCCCTGCCTTTCGAATCAAAAGATCAGCCTGGGGGCATCTCGTCGTAGGGCACGCCGGTGGCGGCCTGAACCCAGCCAACTTGGTGAGACCCTTGTGAGACCCTTTGGGTTTGGACCTAGGGCCTTGTTTGAGATGGTGTCGCTTTTGAAAGGACCCCTTCTGGGGGGTTGGTGTGGGAAACCAGGGGAAAGCCCAGACGGGAAACATGTCCGTCAAATGATGTGGAACCCTGTTATCTCGATGGCTTGACAGTCAAGACCTCAAGGGCTTGGCAGTCGCCGCCCTGGGAACAAACATATTTGTGGCTTTCCGGTTCTCCAGGGTGTGAAGCCAAAAAAGGAAACCACTCCTTCTAGAGCCCCACTATTTGGAGGTTCGGGGGTTGAAACATGCGCCGCCCAAAGTGTGCCTCTGGCGTCTGGAAATGGCTGCTCCAGCTTTACAACTGCTTTTCAAAACCGGGCTGCAATCCTCGCAGGTTTCAGCAAATAACCTTTCACAGGCTCTTTTGGGCAGCCAGCACAGCTTTATGCAAACTGCTGCGTCTTGCTCAAGAAGACCTGGATGCATTTGCTCCTTACCATGCGCAAGTTGCGGGAGGGGACGTTGTGCGTGTTTGCTCATTGTTTGACGGCATGTTGCCGCCTTTGTTCGTACCTTTCTTGACTTGAGATCGGCCAGCTTGGCGTACGCACTCGCTGGGTTGGCTTCGCAACTGCGAATGTGCCACTATGTTGACCCACGTCGATTGGCACCAGCTAGGATGGAGGAAACTCTATCAAAACTAAAGTACACCACCTAACCTTCATGGTTCCCACCAACCCTCCCCAACTTAGACCAAATTCCTTGCAAACTTGGGGCTAGTTTCCTCTCACCTAACGACCGGATCGTTTTCTCGCAAAGGTACCAACTTCTGGTGAGCATGGAGCAGGCACCCTTGATCAGCAACAACAGGTCTCCAACCGAACGAATCATTGCGCCTCTATGGGTCTGTCTTTCTTGAGGGTACCCTTTTTGGGGTGGTTTCAAAGAAAAACCAGCAGGAAAACCCCCGTGTTGGGGGTCCAACCTTCTAAAATACTTCGCTTCGAGCAATCCCCTCCATGCTCACGAGCTTACGACCGGTACAACAAATTCCCCCGCATCCTCGAAACTTCGACTCCAAATTTCCATCGGCCCTTTTGGACATTAAGCGGCGGGCTGCTCTGGTGGGATACTCGGCGGGATCCATCCACTGGCGAGCTACTCTGGGATACTCAACGGGATACTCGGCGGGATCCACGGACGGGCTGCTCTGGCGGGATACTCGGCTGTATCCACTGGCGAGCTGCTCTGGCGGGATACTCGGCGGGATCCACTGACGAGCCGCTCTGGCGGGATACTGGGTGGGGGCGTGGTGTGGAAGCATCGCAAACGCGGATTCCAACATAAAATCTAACAACCCCTTCCTGTCGGGTGGGGAAAAAGACACACTCCTATGGTTGGAAATGACCAGTTCTTCTACCCAAAACGGCGCCCCTAGGGACAAAAACGTCTCTGACTCTTGGTGAAAAAAAGTGCCGACACGCTGTCTGTCCTTCAACTTGTGTTTTGTTTGTCGCCAACGGAAGTCAACAACGTCCAACAACTACAAATTGGTGTGTCCATCTGTATATAGGGGAACCTCCAAACTGGCAATTGTTCGGCTTCCCCCTTTGGCTTCCCTTCAAACCCGGTCCCAAAAGGGGTGCTCCCAAAAAAAAGACACATGCATCCACGCCCCGTTTTGGTCAGACCGAGGTGGCTCCCAAGGGGTCGGCCTTGAGGCGCGGGAAGTGGGTCTGCGCCTTGTTGGGAGACAAGGGCGGTTGCCGGCCTGGGATGAGAAGCGAGGCTCGCATCTCAAAGGGGAAGATACTGATGCAACTTCCACTGCGTGTACCAAGACAATATGTGAAGTTGCAGGTGGTTCTTTATGTATATTTACATACATATCACATACATACATATACTTAGGGCGTCCGTACACTTCTGTTTCTATCAAGGAAAGATCCGTCAAATCACATTCTGAGTTCTTCCAGCCGTCAACAAACAGAATGAATCCTGTCTAGACAAGAGACATGAAAGGGATGAATGCTAAAGAGAGGAAAGGGACAAGGACGATGAACAATGCTGGACCTTTTGGTCATTAAATAGATGGTGTTCTTCATTCAACTGGCTGTGGGTCAAACCAATGCTACCATTCTGGGGTGGAAGGTCATGTCATCTGAGTGCTCCAAGAGGTAGACTATGCTGTGTAAACAAGCGGGTGAATGAGGATGTGACCTACCTTCTCACTGTGGGGGCACAGCCATTCGCTCGCTCATCATTACGCGCCCCACCTGTCAGAGAGTTCCGGAGATATGGGCGAACAACCCTGACTGGGCATCTGCTTGAGTGAGCAATCTCCCAAGTCGAGCATTATAGGCATCCCCACATGTCCCCTTGAAACATCACCCACCACTTTACAGAGGCCCAGGTGATGGAAAAGCCACCGCAAGGCTTTTCAAAGACTGGGGGAAACCCTGAAAACATAGGTGGCCTTTTGGAAAAATAGATGGCCCTGGTAAATGGAACAAATCCCATCTAAACCAGTGGGACCCATCGATTTTCAACCAAACTGACCCATCAAAAGCACGCCTATGCCTGAAAATATGTTCGCTGCAGGTGCCAATCTGGTTCACGTCCTCGCCCTGCCAATCTTGCAGCAGCATCTGCCACACCGTCAGCCCCGGCAGCACCTACCCATCCAAGCATAAATATGGTGGTCAAACACCAAAAAGCAAAACCACGCAGAATGGGTCGGTCTACAGAAAGACAGACCCATGTCTTAATTGGGATCCCTCACAGACACTGGGTGATCCTCTGGGTTCTTGGCCCAAAGATATCAAAAGGGAACCCTCAAAAAGGTGCGTTGTGCTGTTGGTGTCCCTTTAAACCAACCCCAGAAAATAACATGACATCGCTTGAGAACATAGTGCATACACCTGGGCTGCTTTTGGTGAAAGGCCTAATAGAAATGAACACAAAAAAAAAAGTATCGCAATGGCACCGGCCATTGCAGACCGTGGTTAGCCCAGGTGCATTTCCAAATGTTCTCAAAAGAACATGAGAGGAGGCGTGATTGAGGAGAACCCACTGTACTTGCAGCAAAACAAAATAAAATCCACGCAAAGCGTGTGAATGCAAAAAAAAATGAGAAGATACGCATTCACCTCAAAATGCGGCGCCAACCACAGCAAGATGCCGCCATGTCCATTTAAAGGAGACCACCGTGCTGTTTCCAGCTCCAAGCTTCACCCAAGGTTCAGAACATGCCTCTGACCCTGGCTGCTGCAATGATCCTAGCAAAGTCCGAAATGTAGAGCCAATCTCTGTAGATATCTGATGCATTGTGTTTGCTCGAAATGCAGGGAACAACCCTTATCTTCTCGCTGGCCATCTTCCTTGACCAATTTTTCAATTGCAAGTGCCAAGAATATTACAAAATGACGTCCGCCTGCTTTGGCCATCATTATCTGAGGTCCACCGCAGCATGTCCGAAACCGAGTACAGAAGGGTATGTTGCCGCGCAGTTCAGCCGCCTTTGATGGACCTGAGAAGAAGAATAAGAAGAAGAACATTCAAGCCGGACTTGGCATTCCCTTCCAATGATTCTACGGCTCCTCCCCTTCAACCACAACATTTGCATGGTGCAGTGCTCGCATCAGTGGCTCAAAATCAACTCTGGGAGGATGCTTGGGGAAAAAACAGCCACTGGACGGCGTCCATGGCAGGTGAACTATTCTGTAACCAGCATCACACAAGTCTCACACCCCTTTCGTGGAGTCGCAAGAGGTCGCGATCTGCTTTGCCCAGAAGAACCACTAAAACCCTGGTGGTTCCCGGCGTGGGATCCCCAAACCAACCGATTTGCCCAAATCCCCCTGCTCCCTGGCTGCGCCTCCAACATGGACAGCGCCTCGAGGCCCGACCGACGGCGGGCTTGCGAAATACAACGGGACAAACTAAGAATAACTGAGGGCCTACCCTGCGGGTGAAGACTACCAACAAAAGCACTCAGAATGACGATGATGATGCGGATGATGAGCTGATGATGATGATGATGACGATGATGATGATGATGATGATGATGATGATGACGATGATGATGATGACGATGATGACGACGATGATGATGATGCTGCTGCTGGTAGTGGTGGTGGTCGTGGTGGTCATGGTGGTTGTGCTGGTAGTCGTGTGCCGGTGACGACGACAAGGACGACGAGGAGGGCGAGGACAACGACGATGATACTAATGAATGAAGAGCTGAGTGAAGGGCGGAGAAGAACGGAGCGAAGAGATGAGAAGAAGAGCGGAGCGAAGATTGCGAAGAGAAGAGCGCAACGAAGAGTGGGCAGAAGGATGGAGGAAGAGCAATGCGAAAGCGGGCAAAGACTGGGGAGCGGAGCGAAGACTTGGGGAGAGGCGTGGAGAGAAGAAGGGCAGCCCTGCGGGAGGGACAATCCCGAGGTCGCAAAGGAAAGATGATCGTCCGAAGCCAAATTTTCTTGGACCGCACTGGGCGGTCCACCAAAAATTGATACAGCTAGCTTGCTTGCTAGCTTTGCTGAATATCGAAGCCTAAGCTGTTGAAGATGCCCCCCTCTGGTTCCTGTTCTTTGTTTCCCCCGACATTTTCTGGAAGGGGTCCCCAGACCTTCCGCCCGGCCTTCCGGCCGACCCGCTCTGCGAAGGGCGTGTCCGCGCTGCTGGCCACCGCAATTCGCATGCCGGGGTATGCGCCTTAGCCCGCCCCGGCGCAGCAAACGCTTGGAAACCCCAAAAGGGACCCCCGCCTTCTCCGAAAAAGCGCCTTGGGAACCCTTCAGAAGTTGTCATGTTGAAACGCCTTGAAAAAGGGTCACATACACCCATGTGGCACGAATGACACCATGTGTCTGTCATCCATCAGATCTGGAATCGGTGCTACACCAGTTCAGTATGATGACTCGGTCTTCAGCGGCAGACCGCTTGAGTGGCATCAAGTGCCTAGCTACCAAAAGCTAGACCAAATCGGCAGCCCCGCTTTGAGTCAAAATCAAAACCTGCTACAGGGATCTCCAAGACCATGACTATCAAAGGGCGGGTAACCGCTGTGGCAAGGGAACCGTCCCTTACCCGACACGGGTTGATGAGGGCTCATGTTACCCACCGTTGCTGCTTTTCAAGTCATCCCCACCTCCCACAGATGACTTATCCGCCAAGTGGCCATCTGCGTGGTTCTGCAAGGCCTTCAAGGCTCCTGCAGTGTTGCAGCGAACATATATGCCAAGATGGGCATGTCGAACCTTGAGTTTGTCCTAGTTGAAATTTGTGAGTCTGCCGAACCAAGTGGGTTTCCCGACCCCGAATTGATATGCGCCAAAGGCCGCTATTGAAGATTGTTTTATGAAAGAGGCTGAAGGGAAAGTGACCATTTGAAGGAATTCCAAGTCTTGACGCGTCGAATAGCTTCCAACATCGGGGGCCCCGCAAGAACCTGTTGACTAACTTTCTCCTCGGCAAAAGCAGTCACCTGCACTAGTGACTCAAATAAAGGATGTTTGCTGGGGCTTTCACAGGTGGGAAAGCCCTCCGTGAAATCCCGCGAGGGAGTACGCAGCTACAGATGGACGTCCTTTGAATTTGTCAGGGGTATTTCAGTTCAGGTGGCACCAAAAAATGCATTTTTCCGTTGCACAGTTTGGCATTTGCTGTTCCATTTCTGCGCGGCCGATTTGTCCGATCTGCAGAAGGTCGGAAAAATTGTTCCTTTGTGCAGAGAGATCTTCTCCGTGCCGCTCATGACCTCGAGTGCGAGACCGGTTTCAACTGGATCCCGCACGGTGAAGTGGGAACCCCCCCCCCCCCTCCCTCCACAAATGAGAGAGTCCCGACTGAGAACCAAAAGTAAAGCGTCCCCCAAAACGATGCGAATCCAAAAAGTCGCAAATTTCGATTCGAAAGGCCCAAAGTTGCTCAAAGCCACCCTGTCTTGGGGACAATCGGAAACACCGAACCACACTGCAGGTCAAAGCATGTTTCATTGCCATTGAAAAGCAACCCTTGCCTACGCAGAAAGACTTGCTCCACAAACCCTCCAAGGACTCAGCCCGCCGGAGCGCCGCCCTCGTTCGCCAGCAACTTGGGTCCCCAGCGCCACGCACGCCGTCCCCCCGGCCAAGTAGGTCGCCCCTCACGGCATCCTCGGGCTTGGGGATCGCCTCCATCTCGTACATCTCCTCATGGAGTGCCCAAAGACCAAGGACCAAATCGCATTTCCCCATCGCTCGCTTCACATTTTTCGGAACTGGGCGTTTGTCTGCGAGTCTCAACGAGCCCATGGATTGCCCTGACGGAACCTGGAGCTCCTGGTTAGGCCGAGGGCCACTTTCTCGTGCCGGAGGGCCCGCAGAGGAACTCCCCGAATGAAATGAACACCCAAACTTCTCATTTTGAGGCAAACCCAAACTCAGCCTTCCCAAATGCCGCAAAAACCCAAAGCCTGTGGCACCCAAAAGGTGGCTGAAGTCCGGTCGAAGAATTTTTCGATCGAAGACTCCTTGTCCCAGAGGCACGCATCCAGATCGAAGACGCAGAGCCCCGGCAGGCGCACAGCCTTCCTGGCGCGGAGACGAGGCTTAACCAATGCCTTGGAGGAGGCCGGAGTTTTGTTTTGCCACGCGGTCAAAACCGCCGACCTCGGCTTGGGAAGAAACGAGCTGGATCCTTCACAAGCAGCAGTTTGGGCTTGTTATGGTCTATGACTGGGGTTCAAGGCGTAATCTTTCTGTAATAAGTCCTGATCTTCATTGGGCAGGGTTGCTCCGCTTGGCGGATTCACCAACCATCACACAAAAATGCCCAATTCTCCACTTTCCAGACTTCGGCTTCAGAGAGTTGGGGAGCCAAGCAATCATTTGCTGGGCCCGGAACCTCCGTGTTTCCACGTCTGAAAGGCAGATGCGCGTCACTCGCATCTAACCAAGGAGAACACCGATTTTCTCTCACCAAAATGGCAGTTAAACATATGTTAAAAACCCAGCCCCCATATTGCCGTCATTTTGCCAGGAAAAGTGACAGGCTGTCGCCCTCTGGGAACCCGACCGATCGACCAATCGGCCGATCGGCGCGATCGGTTCCGGTTCCTGGTGAGGCGCCCGGGGCGCTGAAGGGACGGGGTGCCAATGAAGACCAGTGGCCCACCTCGGGGCAGAGGGCGCGGCGCGAAGACAACTTGGCGTTCAGCCACTTTTTTGGGCCGGGCCAGGCATTTTGTCCAAAGGTCCCCCCATTCGAGTTTTTTGCCACACAGCATCCGCGAAAGACTGTGAATGGAGGGCTTCAAGTCACGTACCTTGGCGCTGGCGCTTGGGGGCATAGCAGTTCAGAGTGCCTGTCTTCTGTCGTTTCCAGGCCATTTGCCCACCGGAGGCGGTCGAGCCAACAACGAAGGAGGCGCAGTCTCCGCTATCCGCGTTGGCAGGGTGTTTTGTGCGGAAACAGAACGGACTCGGTAGTTTGTTGACCCCTTCAAGAAAAATATGGCCGAGAAAGCCCTTTGCAGTGCAAGCCCTTGAGAAGGTTCTTCCATGTGCGTAGATCAAGCGCTGTCATTCATTACAAAGAAAACCGCTATGACAGCGCTGCGAAAGGTGAATGTGTCGGATTCACCCGTTGCGTTGCTGAAGTGCGGGGCTGGCTTGCTTTCTTCCGCTCAAAGCGGTTCAGGGTCAAACCTCAAAGGCCGCCGGAACAGCAGATCCGCCCCACAGGACGAGTCACTCAGAAGGCCCAGCACCAAGCCCGCACGCCGCAGAGCCCGACAAGTCATGGGCGAAGTTCAAAGTCAAAAGCCAGTCCTGAACCTGCGCAGCCTTTTCTCATGAAGCACACAAATGCTTGAAGTGTGATGTTAAACAAACCGTCATGCGCCACTGAGCCGCATCTGAGAAGTCCTGGAATCAACTTTCCGCGAATAAAAATGAGAGACACAAGTCATGAGCTATCTTTGAGTGCGAATCTGCTCATTGCCTCCGAGCCAACGGCTTGCGTCAGGTCGCGCAAGCGCACTTTGTGCGCGAGCCGCAACATTGATCCATGCTGTGCAAATGAAGTTTCCGATACGCGTCATGCGCCCTTTGTGCGATAAGACATGAGAAACAAACAAGCACATGGAAAAAAGAAAAAAAGAAAAAAAACTGGCCGGCGCAGGGCGTCTCCAACCTCTCACCCACTGGCCTTCGGCCGCAGGAATGCAGTCCTTAGCCGGGGCCAACCCTTTTGGGGCAGAACGTCCTTCCCGCACAGAAAGCTGCTTCCATCTTTCGCGATTCAAAGAAAACAATGGCAAAAACAACCAAACACAAATGATGAACTGCAATAACACACTGAGGACTCACCACCCTAGGAAGCCTCGCCCGAATCATGGGCTGTTTCACAAGTTCCGATCCGACACGAACATGTCCCGTTCCTGCTTTCAACACATCAAAGAGAAGTCAAACAAGAATGTCACAACCACGAAGGACATATGAGGACCTGTGACTTCCATGGACCGAGAAAGACTCAGCGCAGGGCTCCGTGCACCATCTGAGAGCAACAACCTCAGCTAAGCATTGCCTGCCTGCGCCTTCTTTTCTGGCGGAAACAACGTGTCCGTCTGCCTTTGAGAACCCTTGTGTTGCCTTCAGCGCCCCTTTCGTCGCTGTGAATGTCTGAAAAGCTTTCAAAGGGACACGAAGCCCGCTATTCCATGAAACAAAGGCACTGGCACAAAGAGCAACAGAAAGATCCCCTGCCCAAATTGTCACGGCCCCCGAGAGTCTCTTTGACTCCCTCGTGCCCCTTCAAAACGCCTGCTTCCCGCTCAGATGGCCAAGAAACTCGGAGCCTGTTTCAACCCGGTCCTAAGAAGAATGACCAAGTTCGCATGAGCCGGAAAGCGCCCTGGGCACTGGGACATGCGCGGTCAAATCCAAACCCCAAGGGGATGGATGCTTCCTCCAGAAGTTTGTTGGACGCACAGAAAGCCCAACCCGGCAAAGGCCCTTTTGTGGCCAAAAAGGCATCCAAGCAGGTACCAACCTACATGGAAGAGGGGTGTGTAGGGTAGCCCAGAAGTTCCCGTGAAACTACAAGGGACCAAAAAAAGGAACATCCAACCTGCAAGTCTCGCATCCTGATCAAAACCAAAAAGGAAATGCCAAAACGGATTTAAGGTGCCGTCGCATTGTGGTTGAAATATGGTTTCAGGGTCACCTTCTACCAACCACGACCGGAGTTGACTCACGTCAATGCTGGGACCCCCTGCTAGCACCAGGGCCGCTGCCAGCCTGGCCTGTGCTGCGACTTCCATATGTGTATATATATATATATATGTGTATATATATATATATATCCCGAAGGGCACACTTCCAGGCGCCGTTTCGCGAAGGCAAATCTTGGTCTTTTGGCCTTCAACAAACGTCCTTTTAGTCAGCCCAAGCACCCTGTAGCAGAGGGTTCCCTTGGCGTGCCTACTACCATGTTGCAATGCGGGATACATCAAAGAGAGGGGTTCCTTGGACGTGTTTACTACGCGGTTGTGATGTGGGATTCATCAAACAGAGGGTTTTGTTTGGGATTGTTTACTACCATGTTGTGATGTGGGATTCATCAAACAGAGGGTTCCCTTTGGGCTTGTTTACTACCATGTTGTGATGTGGGATTCATCAATCAAAGGGTTCCCTTTGGGCGTGTTTCCTACCAAGTTGCGATGTGGAAATCGTCAAACAGAGGGTTCCCGTGGGCTTGTTTACTACCATGTTGTGATCTATCAAACAGAGGGCTTCCTTTGGGCGTGTTTACTACCATTTTGTGATGTGGGATTCATCAAACAAACGGTTCTCTTGGCCGTGTTTACTACCAAGTTGTGATCTGGAATTCAGTTCCCTTCGCGTGCTTACTACCATGTTGTGATGCGGGATTCATCAAACAAAGGGATTCCTTGGACGTGTTTTACTACCATGTTGTGATGTCGGACAGAGGGTTTTGCCTGGGCGTGTTTACTACCATGTTGTGATCTAGGATTCATCAAACAAAGGGTTTCCTTGGACGCGTTTACTACCATGTTGTGATGTGGGAGAGGGTTCCCTTGGGCTTGTTTACTACCATGTTGTGATGTGGGATTTATCAAACAGAGGGTTCCCTTGGGCTTGTTTACTACCATGTTGTGATGTGGGATTCATTAAACAGAGGGTTCCCTTTGGCATGTTTACTACCATGTTGTGATGTGGATTCATCAAACAAAGGGATTTCTTGGACGTGTTTACTACCATGTTGTGATGTAATAATTTATCAAACAAACGGTTGCCTTAGGCGCGTTTACTACCATGTTGTGATGTGGGGTTCATCAAACAAAGGGTTCCCTTGGGCGTTGTTGTGATGTGGATTCACCAAACAGAGTGTTCCCTTGGGCGCGCTTTATTTACATTGGGTAAATGGGTAGCCTCCTTTCTCTGCTGGCTCTGATCTTGACCAAGGCCAACTCGAACCAACTTCCAGGCGATCAGCTGCCCGAAAGGCAGGTTGCGGCAATCAGGCGCCACCACACGAACCCATCAGAAATGAGAACGTTCCAGAACTGGCCGAGTTCATAGTATTCTACACACAAGCATCAAGAGTCCCGCAAAAGGCTGACGAAAACAACACGTTGATTTCGTCAAGACGTCCACTGGAAACTGCCTGCAAATGACTGGCAGGGCGCATGCAAACAACGAAAAGTATGACACGGGGGTGCCTGCAAATGCACCCGTCAGCATATATATATATATATGTATATGTATATATATATATATGTCCCTTATGTTTCCGTGTTGAAAAGAAGGGGCATGGCCCTTATTCTTTGTCCTTGATGGCCATTGGATTCTAGAAGCTTGCAAAAATTACCGCAGCATGATGAAATGTGTTTAAGTAGAATTTGTAAAAGGGCGGAAACACTTGCACCCCCGACATCCCAAACTTCTGTTGGCGTTCAGAGGTTTCGAGGCAGAGTTCGCCCAAAGGCAATTTGGGGTATTCGTTTATGGGTACGTGAAAGAGGGGAACCCGAAAACATGTGGTCCATGCCGTCAAAGAAACATAAACCCATATCTCCGGCAGACCAAAAGTGCAGCGGCAATGTGCGGTGGCAGGCTCGTCAGGGGCTTACAAGAGACACTCCAATGGGATCAAGAATTGCGGTCATGCTCTGAGGGTGTACGGCTTAAATGCCTCCGAACGACTCGAAACCGACACCATATACGTCATTGGTTGGCATGGTGCCAAGGGTGCCGGGGGGTGGTGTCCCTGTAACTTGGGGTACAGGGGTACACACGAGGTACAAAACATTTGAATCAGTGTTTGCCGTTGGCCCGTGGAGAACGTCAAAAATGCGACACCATGTGCATGTTTAGGCATGTGCGGGCGTGTATTTGTGTGTGTGTGTGTGTCTTGAGGAACGGTTTACATACATGCATCTAGTTGTGAGTGTGTACACATACGCATACACGTGCGAATACATACGCATACATATGTATATATATATATAATCAGCAGAAGTGACCCCATGTGCAGCGCACATCTTGGTCTTTTGGCTTGCAAGTTTGGTCCTTTTCGCTCGCATGGCAAGTAAACCAGACAACACACAGGAAAGAAAGGAATTCGGGACATGGGCTGCAAAGGGCATACCTGAAAGGGCCTTGATTGACGTGCTCGCAATTCTGACATGTGCCGCGCACAAGAAACCTGTTCTTATTTGCGGTCACTGGCCCACATCGCGGCGGTTCCCCGATCCAAGCGATTGCCGAGAATCCAAATTGTTGATCAAAAGATATGACATTCTGGATATGTGATAGTGACTACTATATCAATAACAATTAAAGAATGATGATAATCCAAATAGTGCTTGAATCCCATTTAATCGAAAATACGCTCCACTCCGCTGTTCCAGAAAGGGGCCGCTAGAGGGCTCTTCATTCAATTGTCATCTTTAGCTCGCATGCAAGCCTGACGACTTCCCAGACGCCCGGCCTTGCCCATCGCGGCTTTCGCACGCGCGCGCTCGCGCGCCAAGGCCAAGTGCGGCGAGGCTACCAGGCGACCGGCGGCCCGAGCCGCGGAGACCCCGGAACACGGCTGCCCGGCTAGTCTATCTCCAAACCACCATTCTGAAAACCAGGGGTAAACACCCACGGATTTCAAGCGTCCAAACACTCCGGGGGAAAGAGGGCCACACCGGCTGCTTTCTGTTTGTGTTTCTCTCTCATCCCTTGAAAAAATCGGGGGTTTCAAGGACAACCCCAAATCAATCGCGACTCACTGGCTGCTTTGGCCGCTAGGTTGAGATGATTCAATGCTCACACGGGTCCTCCACTCTGAGTTTCTCCGCCACACAAATGGACTCTCAACGCACAGACCCAATCCCTTGTAGAGCCATCAATCAGAGTCTGGAATTCCTTCCATGACTTGTGGCAGAGTCGGATGATTGAGCATGCCCTGCTCAGATTCACAATAATGAGACGAGGGCCAGAGCCCAACCAACTCTTCGCCCACCCTAGCAACCGGATTCGAATCTGGAGTGTGGCGCACTTGGCACACCAGGGCATGCTCGTAGCAAAGTGCCTCCGCTGCGGGAAACGCGTAGCAGTAGCAGCATCTGAATGCCGATACGTATGACGTGGCCGATTTAAGGTCAACGAGAGCATCAAAAGGTGCAAATATTCAAAATGCCTGTTTTCGAATAATTCAAGGTACTAAATACAATTGCATTGCGAGGACACTCAAAGCTTGCCTTTTTGCTTGCAGAGAACAGCGCCA